GGTGGTCTTTTATTCTTAAGGCTACTAATGAAAATGTTTCCACATTATTCATCTTCCACCCAATGTTTTTGCAGTTTGAAATCTCTTCCTTATGGAATTTCTTTTTTTAGATTTTGTTCAATTTCCATTGATACAAGATATTAAAACACAACATCACAAATCCATTAGATTGAATAACTGAAATTCAATTATAATGAGTTTACAACTTTACAGATTATCCATCCCAAACGAGAAATTAGCTTATGCTTACAAGCATGGCCGGAAATACAAACAAAACTTCAACGACCAGAAATCCATAGACTCGAGATACAAATTGGAAAAAAATCCTATAGATATGATGTAATAGTACCTTGGACGGTTTAAAGAGAAAAATTGCTACGAAGCTGAAGCTCCATGAAAATTTGTCTTTTTTGTGGTTGACCTATCAATTTGAGCAATGGAAAAATTCACTACACTGGAACTTGTCGTTGATGACGACATTAAGTTAATGTTTAATGTGTTTAAACAATAGTTCGCGATGACAAAACTTAAGTTATATGTTGACATTGTCTCTGCCTACAGCTCGTCATTACCGATGCTGTTGTTGGATCTGAATATTCCACATTTTAATGTTGCTCCAAGTCATTAGAAGAACACATCCATTGAGTATGAAGATGTTGGATCAATTTGTTGCGAAAACATATTTATTGAAGATGAAGGCAATTCCTTGATCCCGTATGTTAATTTGGACACTTCAAATAAAGATGAAGATGAAAAAGTTTCCATAAGGGGAGTGCATTTGAATATGATGTAGAGGTCAATAATGTTCGGAATGTTGCCCCAACTAGCTATTGTTAATTCTCTAGTTGCATCTTTTGGTATTGCTAGTGAATATCCTTACAAATGGAAGGTTAGTTCAACAATTCAATGATCTTGACATGTTATGTAGTATTTGCGTCTTATTTTGAGTTTGTATGTATCAGTCAATTTTGTACTCCATTCTCGAATGCTAGTTGACATATATGTATATTAATCATTATCACCTTGATCAAGAAATGAATGATGATGTTGGGGGCATGGAGGATTCTTGGCGATTTGGAGATGAATTATTTGTTAATTAAGAATTCGATAGTAAGGAAGCAGTGCAAATAACAATCAAGTCATATTGCATAAAAGTGCATCAAACTATTTTTGTGGAGGAAAGGAAGAAGAATCAATTGAACATGAAATGTGCAAACCATGCATATGGTTGTCCATGGATGATGAAAGCATTGTTAGCGATGTATCAAGATAGGTGGATCGTTATTAGATAGGGAGACAACACACTTATAAGAATATTTATCTCTCACAAAACCACAAACAACTTAATTCAAACTTCATATGTTCATGCATATCTCAAGGGTTACTTGTGGCACTCTAATTTGGAAAAAAATAATAAAAAATTAATAGGGTTTTGTAGGAAAAGTGTCACTACTAGGGGTGAAAATGGGTTGGGTTGGGCTGAGTCGAGCTTTGTCCAGAAAAGCCCAAGCCTATGGCAAAAAAATTCAATTTGATCTAGCCCGGTGACATAGTACGAGTCTAACTGTTAGCCTGGCCTGACCCATTTATAAAAAAACAAATGGCCTAGCCTGTCCCATTAGCCTGTTAATATTTAACCTTTAAGCAGAACATGAATCAACTTCATAAAACACTCAAATTCTGTTGTTGAAACAAAAATAACAATTTCAATATTCAAATAAAACCATGAATCACCACAACAAATTATCACAATTTGCATTAAAGTCACTTTCAGAAGAAAATGCCCAAACTAAATAACATATATTTCATCAGATCTAACAAATCAATCCATACTATGTAAATTAAAATAACTGCATGAATCCAACAAATGCATCATGATGCTTGTAGTAGCAAAAAATTTCTCATCATCTTCAAAGAATCTCCCATGCAAATACAATTCTAAGGTTACATAAGTTGGCAAATAATTTGTAAATATAGAAAACAAAAAACAAGATTAAAGAATAGAAAGAAAAAAAAAGATTTAAAACAAAAAATCTTTTTATACCTTTTGCTTTTTTTTTCAAGCTATACTTATTACGTAGTCAATCTTCACCATATATTAAAGTTTGGATGGTATCTTCAGCCAAGCTGAACGATAAATATTAATAACTCTTAATCCATCACTAAATATTGATTCTGATGCTACTATAGATATTGATACATATCTTATGCCACTTCCGAAAGTAGTATTGGTGGGGGATCAAACCTATGTCCTTCCACCACCTACTCAGCTCACATGCACTAACTGAACTATCATCATTTGGTACTACTATGAATAATATTATTTTATTTTATTTAAATAAATAATATGATATAGGCCGGCCTGTAGATTTATGGGCCCGACATATAAAAAAAGCCTATGACTTGCTTTCTAAATAGGTTTTTTTAAAAGTCTAAGTCTGTTCTATTTGATTATATATAATAGACCAAGTCTGGTCTGATATAAGGAAGCCGTAAGCTCCTGTAGACCGACCCAATTCATTTACACTCCTAATCACGACATTGTAAAAAAGAAGAAAGAAATAAAAATAAATGTACAAGACAGTTGCGACGCGACACTAGCCATCCCCAAATATAAATGTGTTTCCCATCGACCCAAATTGATATTTATTTCCTAAAAATACATCAATTGAGTCAAATAACCTGAGTAGTTGCCTAGATACTTTGCTAATAAAATAAATTGAAGGAAATTAATCCTTTGGTGTTGTTTATCATGAAAATTTTGTTTTGTATCTCTCCTTTTTATATGTATTCATAAAATTGGACACAATCTCACCTATTTAATATTTGGAAATATTTTTCTTATGTTGATGGAGATAGGTTATCTCATGTTAGTGACACAAAATTATAGGAGAGACCCACAAATAATTAGAAAGAGAAAAAATAGATGTGGAACCCACATTTGTTACGTGTGTGTAGAAAATTGGTTTATCTCATATTAAATGGGATAAATATAACCCTTTAATATTTATAAAAAGAATTATTATTTTTTAATTATTATTTTTTAATAAATTATAATGTTCAGATTGACAGAAATTAAAAGTTAAGATTTAATCGTAAGAAATAATAAACTTAATTGGTAGTAAATATATACTGATTCTAAATTATATAACATGATATTTCCAAAAAAAAAAATTATATAACATGATATTAATTTTTTAAGGATTTCGATTTTTTCATGCCCTAGGAGAAATTTTTTTCATGTGTAGACACATATTATCTGAGGTCCACGTCTATTAAAAAAAATAAAAAACAAAAGAAAATATTGCACGAAAAGGCCATTTCTCATTAACGATAGGTGTCAAAGGATCAAAACGGCCAGTTATTAATGGAATTCCTTGTCGGCTTTCTGTAAAATACTCATTTGGGCGGGGACTTCCAAATACATCGTAAGCTAAACCCGGGCTGACAAATAACCAACCTGCAATGAATAGGGAGGGTATAGTAATGCTATGAATAATCCAGTATCGAATACTGGTAATAATATCAGCAAAAGAACGTTCTCCTGTGCTTCCAGACATGTTGAGCTCCACATTTTTTTTTACAGTCAAAGGGTGGATCGATTCCACAAAAGATGAGAGATCAGTAAGTAGAAATTTACTGAAATAGAATGGTAAGATCTTTGGCGCAAGAACGCAAAAAGAGGGGTTGATCCGTATCATCTTGACTTGGTTCTGATTTCTCTATTTTTTTAAGAATACAGAGTCGATAGATATTATTGAAAATTGAGATTGTAGGCTGTCATGGTAAGACATTAGAAGTACATTTTTATTCAAGATTATTATAAGATCAGTTTTTACCATTCTTAAACTATTATATATTAATAATTTATCGTGATACGTACTATTATCACATGTAAATTAAAGATATAATTTTTATAATAGTACTATTAATATTATATAATTATGATAATATTATCTTTTTTGATACCTCTAATAATTTTCTAACAGTACAATTTTTCGTACTTATCATAAAAAATTGGATCATAAAATAAAATGATCCACAATCTGGTTCAAGTCTCGGGTCCGTAAAACTCACTAGGATACGCGGTATTATTAAACCAGACAAAGCAACAAGCAATAAAACCAAAAACAGATAAAGCACCTAAACTATAAGACAAGTAAGCTTCTCCAGACCATACAAGTGCACGCCGAGCCCATGCAAAGGGTTTGGTTAAGATATGCCAGATTCCACCAAGTATACAAATGGAACCCAACCATACATGCCCTCCAATTATATCTTCCAAATCGTCCACACTAACAATCCAACCCTCTCCTCCAAAAGGTGATTTTAATAAATAACCAAATATAATACTTGGAGTAAGGGTTAAGTTGGTAATTTTTCTTACATCCCCCCCGGGAGCCCAGATATCATATATACCCCCAAAATACAGAGCCTTGAATACTAGAAGAAAAGCACCTATACCTAATAAGATTAAGTGAATACCCAAAATGGTAGTCATTTTATTTCTATCTTTCCATACATAACCGAAGAATGAAAAAGATTCTTCAAGAGTCTCGGGTCCCAGAAGTGCATGATAAATACCGCCAAAGCCCAATACTGCAGAAGAAATTTTCACCTCATACGGCTCCTCGAAAGTCTAAAATAAATCTAAGGATCGGGACGATTATTTTTTTCTTGATATATCCCTAAGATATATAAGATTCCAATCTATCGGACGATTCTGAATTAGACCAATTCAGTTCTGTCTGTTCTAATAATTATGTTCTAATAATAAAGATAAATCTATTTTAATAATAAAAAAAAGGTACTTCTGAATTGATCTCATCCTTTGAAAATAAAAATTTGAATTTATTGAGTAATAACTTAATTTTTAAATAAAAAACTCTTCTAGAATTATCAATAACCTCCCATCGTTTTTGATCGGATTAACCAACCAAAGTTAGCCTCGGTCATTATATATTGCACAGAAGCAAAAGCCTCAGTAACAGTCGATAATCAATATTCTCTTTTTCATCAAGTCTTTTAGTTTTCTTTAACCCTTTCAGAGTCAAGATTTCTCTATGAAAAATATGAATAGGAGTTTGAAGAAGGGGAAGGAGTCCTCGACCCCCAACAGATAGAGGAGAATTTATTGAATCACATAGTTTGGGAAAAGATGGAAGGGTCACTTCCCACGTGAGAAAATGTTTTCCATTTTTTAAAGCATATAATATCCTGCTATGATTCTGGAGCGTTTGTAAGGTTGCACGGTGGTTTTGGAGACCCGTTTGGGGAACAACCTACGAATCCGATCGATCGATCGATCGACCGTGTGATGTATCAGTGGAGGAAGTTCGAGTTTTTTGAGGACAAGTACGCTGCAAAATGCGACATTCCCGAGGATGAGGATGATGATGTTGATGATGATGTCAACAACAAGAAGAAGAAGAAGACGGAGAAGAAGATCGAGTGTTGTTCCAGTGGCAGAGGCAAGGTGGTGACTGGCTTCGATGATGGTACAGTTTGCTTGCTCGATCGAGGCCTCAAGTTCAATTTTGCATTTCAACCTCACTCTTCTTCTGTTCTCTTTCTTCAGCAGCTCAAGGTTCTTTCAATTGCTTTATTTTATTTTTTTATTTTATTTTATTTTTTTACTTTTTTATGACAATTTTCATGCTTGTGTTCTTGGAATTTGTTGTTTTGGGTAAAAGGGTATGTGGGTTTTTTTTTTTTTTTTTTGTAATTTAGTTGTGTTTTAATTGATTGTTGGTGCTTGTTGAGCATATTTTGATTAGGATTTTGAGGATGGAAATAGATTTGGGAGAGATGGGGAAGTGAAGGAAGAAGAAATAAATCACTGAGATAGAATTTGACTGCTTCAGTGTTGGAATTGTTGTTTTTGGGTAAATGGGTATTTGGTTCTTGGCAAGTGATTTTTTTGTGTTTGATATTGCTCATTGCTGCTTGTTGAGCATCCCATTTTTCATTTTTTGTATTGTGAGGATTGATGAAAGAATTCTAGGGTTTATGTTTTATAGATTTTTATTGTTTTGTTTTGTTTTTCAAAGATTGGTTAAGGACTTTTGCGGTTTGAATGTTTTATTGGGTAGTACAGGAATGTGTTCAGAGTCCAAAATTGAACTTGAAATTTTTTACTTTGTCTGTTGATTAACCAGCAACGCAACTTCCTAGTAACTATTGGGGAAGATGAACAGCTTAGTCCCCAGCAATCAGCTTTGTGCCTGAAGGTTTTTGACCTTGATAAGATGCAATCTGAGAGTTCGAGCAAGGCGAGTCCTGATTGTGTTGGGATATTGCGTATATTCACTAATCAGTTTCCTGAGGCAAAGGTAATGGCACTGTTATACATGCTTGTTACTCTTCATCTTAAGAGGAATGATTTCCTTAAAGTTATAGTAAAACTGGGTAATAACCTAGTTTGATTATTTAAATCCTACATTTTGATGATTTGGGAACTATGGTGTACTGCAGATTACATCTTTTTTAGTCTTAGAAGAAGTACCACCTATACTACTCATAGCTATTGGCTTAGACAATGGTTCTATTTATTGCATTAAAGGAGACATTGCACGGGAGCGAATCACCCGTTTCAAGCTTCAGGTGGAAAACCATTTGGACAAAGCTCTTTCCTCCATAACTGGTCTTGGGTTTAGGGTGGATGGTCAATCGTTACTGTTATTTGCTGTAACTCCAAATTCTGTAAGCTTGTTCTCATTGCATGATCAACCACCAAGAAGGCAAACCCTTGATCAGATTGGATGTGGTATAAACAGCGTTGCAATGAGTGACCGCTCGGTATGCAGTATTTATTCCTTGTTTCTCAGTAATTTTTTATATACTATCATAATTATGTTTTCTATGAATGCTAATTGTTTCTATATGTTAAACATGAACAGGAGTTCATAATTGGTCGACCAGAGGCAGTATATTTTTATGAAGTTGATGGGCGTGGTCCGTGTTGGGCTTTTGAGGGAGAGAAGAAATTGCTAGGATGGTTTCGCGGATACCTTTTGTGTGTCATTGCAGACCAAAGAACAGGAAAACACACTTTCAACATCTATGACCTGAAGAATCGTTTAATAGCCCACAGTGTGTTGGTTAAAGAAGTTTCTCATATGCTCTATGAATGGGGTAACATCATACTCATTATGACTGACAAATCAGCTTTATGTATTGGGGAAAAGGATATGGAAAGCAAGTTAGATATGTTATTTAAGAAAAACCTATATAATGTAGCAATTAATCTTGTTCAGACTCAGCAAGCAGATGCTGCAGCTACTGCTGAAGTGCTAAGAAAATATGGCGATCATCTTTATAGCAAGCAAGACTACGATGAGGCAATGGCTCAGTACATTCTTACCATTGGTCACCTTGAACCTTCGTATGTGATACAGAAGTTTTTGGATGCTCAAAGAATCTACAACCTTACAAATTACTTGGAAAGGCTACATGAGAAGGGTCTTGCTTCTAAAGATCACACCACACTTCTATTAAACTGTTACACCAAATTGAAAGATGTTGAAAAGTTAAATCTATTTATTAAAAGCGATGACAGCATTGGGGAACTTAAGTTCGATGTGGAAACAGCAATCAGGGTTTGCCGTGCCGCCAATTACCATGAGCACGCAATGTATGTTGCAAAGAAGGCAGGGAGGCATGAATGGTACTTGAAGATCTTGCTTGAAGATCTTGGTAGTTATGAAGAGGCCTTGGAATATATTTCAAGTCTTGAATCAAGTCAGGCAGGGATGACAATAAAGGAGTATGGTAAAATTCTAATAGAGCACAAGCCAGTGGAGACAATTCAGATTCTCATAAGGCTTTGCACAGAGGATGGTAACAAAAGAGGAGATTCAAATGGTGTGTATGTATCAATGTTGCCATCTCCTGTTGATTTTCTTAGCATCTTCATCCATCATCCCGAGTCCCTTATGGATTTTCTTGAAAAATATACCAATAAGGTCAAGGACTCACCTGCTCAAGTGGAGATTCACAATACCCTCTTAGAATTGTATATATCCAATGAATTGAACTTTCCTTCAATTTCTCAAGTTAGTGAGGATGGAGATTACCTTAATTTGGCATCAGCAAAAACTATGATTTTAAGTGCTCAGTCCAACGGAACCACTGCTGATCACAAAAGTTCAGAAGAGGGAAGGAACCGTCTTGAAAGGCGTGAAAAGGGTCTACGCTTACTTAAGAATGCATGGCCTCCAGAAACGGAACATCCACAGTATGATGTTGATTTAGCTATTATACTGTGTGAAATGAATGCATTCAAAGATGGGCTTTTGTATTTGTATGAAAAGATGAAACTCTATAAAGAAGTGATTGCTTGCTTTATGCAAACACATGATCATGAGGGGTTGATTGCATGCTGCAAAAGGCTGGGGGATTCAGTTAAAGGAGGGGATCCATCTCTTTGGGCAGATGTATTGAAATATTTTGGTGAGCTAGGAGAAGATTGTTCCAAAGAAGTAAAAGAAGTTTTGACTTATATTGAGAGGGATGATATTTTGCCCCCCATTATTGTCCTTCAAACTCTTTCCAGAAATCCATGCCTCACACTTTCTGTGATCAAGGATTACATTGCTCGAAAGCTTGAGCAGGAATCAAAGATGATTGAGGTGGACCGACAAGCTATAGAAAAATATCAGGTTAGGTCTCAAATTTTGTAATTTTGATTTTTGGGTATACGGTGGTCCTTTATTTTTTTATTTGATAGTTTATATGTTTGTCTGTTCACCCCTCTTGTGTACATTACGTATAACAAATAGCTCTTTTAATTCTTTTTGTTTCCTAATAATCTGAACTATTTAAATAAAAGTAAGATGCATTCTATAGAAAAGACACCAATAGCAGATAAAATAGTAGTTTTTAAAGTTGAAGCCGTTTAAATTTTAAGAACATAAAAACATTGGTATGATGTTTATAAGTATGCAGTTAAGTTTTTTTTCATTCAGAAAAGGTTAGCTAGAAACTGATATCAGGACTTTTTTTGTTTTCATCCTTATCCTGATTGAAGAAGTCCAGTGGGAGCAATATTTGAAATGGCGCTCCATAATAAAGCACTAATATTGTGATCAGTAGAAAGAAGAGGAATTACAAAGTAGGTTATTAGAATTGATGTGACTGATAATAATGATCGAAAATTATATGGTTAGTAAGTATCTTAAACATTTCAGTGTTGGGTTTCTAAATTGTGTTTCTCTTCTCCTTTACTTTCTCTTCCTCTCTTCCTTTTCTTCTCTTCTGTACCTTGGTTTCTATTAATCAGGTTCATTCACTCATAATTAAATATGAACAGGAACTTGGATAATTGAACAGAAAATGGAAAATATTGAAATTTTTCATGCATGGACACCTGAGTGACTATTGAACTAAGGAATGAACAACACTTAATTGAAATTTATAACATTAACAATTGGATGATTGCGAGTATTCAATGTGAAGCAGACATCTGTTTTCTGTTATAATATCCAGTATAGTCAGCATCGCCATGTTATAAAATATGCCGTGCTTTAGTCGTTGAATAGGTTGTTGTTTTTGTTTTTTTGGGCGTTTAGCCTTTTATTTACCAAAAAAAAAATAAAAAATGCCGTGTTTTTTAGTCATGTGATTTGAATTTTTTAGTCATGTGTGCTTGCATGTATGGCCTGTCCCAAGCCAGGATAAAGGAGGAGGGTTGGCGTCAGGTGTTGCGAACCGGCCGTAAAAAACAGCTATATTTTTATGTGATGAACCTATATGATTTTTCGTTGGGGCGTACCCTTCATAGCGACGCGTTGCATCGGGCCCCGGGTGTAGCGAAAAATGGGCTAGGGTCCTTGCCACAAGGCAAGGCGCTGCATCGGGCCCGGGGTGTAGTGAAAAGTGGGCTAGGGTCCTTGCCCCAAGGCAAGGCGCCAGGTCTTCACCCGGATTTGCTGAGAAGTATGCCAGGGTCCCAACACGCAGATGGGCGAGCGTGGCGGGCAAGCACAGCCCAGGGGTTAAGGATGAGATTAGGAAGCTGGAACATAGGAACCTTAACGGGTAAATTGAGGGAGTTGGCAGATGTTTTTGCTAGAAGGAAAGTGAATATTGTGTGTTTGCAAGAAACTAAGTGGGCTGGAGAAAAGGCCAAGGAAGTGGATGGAACTGGTTTCAAGTTATGGTACACAGGTACGAACAAGAGTCGAAATGGTGTTGGAATTATGATCGATAAAAGTTTCAGAGATAAAGTTGTGGACGTCAAAAGGAAAGGCGACAGGATTATTCTGGTTAAGCTTGTTGTGGGTGACTTAATCCTGAATATCCTCAGTGTGTATGCACCCCAAATTGGATTGCAACCAACTGATAAAAGCCAATTTTGGGAAGACTTGGAGGAGGTTTTGAGGGGAATACCTCGAGAGGAGAAGATTTTCGTAGGAGGAGATCTAAATGGTCATGTTGGTAAAAGCAATGGAGGTTTTGATAGAATCCATGGAGGTTTTGGCTATGGGACGAGAAACGAGACTGGAGAAGATATCTTGAATGTTGCACTAGCCTACGATTTGATGTTAGTGAACACCTTTTTTTCAAAAAAGGGAGTCACACCTAATCACTTTTCATAGTGGCCATAATCGTAGTCAGATTGATTTCTTTCTGGCTAGAAGAGAAGATAGAACTTCTTGTGTCGAATGTAAGGTCTACCCTGGAGAGTGTGTCGCTACGCAACATAAGCTGGTAGTCTTGGATGTTCGGTTCAACAAAGTGCGTACAATGAAGAAGAGGGCTCAGAATCCAAGGATAAGGTGGTGGAAGCTTAAGGAGGGAAAAGAGAGAGAGTTCAATGATAGAATGTTGCACGAAGGACCTTGGGAGTTTGATGGAGGAGTAAATGCAACATGGAATGAGATGGCTAAGTGTATTCAAAATTTGGGAAGGAGGGTGTTGGGAGAAAGCAAAGGAAATGGATTTCATACAAAGGAAACATGGTGGTGGAATGGAGAGGTGCAAGAGGCAATTAAACATAAGGAGTGCTTTAGATCTTTGCATAAAAGTCCCAGTGCAGAGAACCTGCAAAAGTTTAGATTGGCGAGAAAAAATGCAAAGAAAGCAGTGCGAGAAGCTAGAGGCAAGGTTTTCGACGAGTTTTATAAAAATCTTGGGAGCAAGGATGGTGAAAGAGGTATTTATAAACTTGCAAAGATAAGGGATAAGAAAAGTAAAGACCTCACCCAAGTTAGATGCATCAAGGATGAAAATCAAAAACTTCTGGTGAGAGATGAAGATGTAAATGAAAGGTGGTTGAAATACTTCAACAAGCTGTATAATGGGATGGAGATACAAGCGAGGTGGACTTAGAGGACGCGTGTGATGATATGAATAGAAGATTTGTACGCAGAATTAATACACATGAAGTTAAGGAGGCTTTAAAGAGGATGAAGACTAATAAAGCCTTAGGGCCTGATGGTGTCCCTATTGAAGTGTGGAGAGACCTGGGGGATGTGGCAATAAAATGGTTGACCAATCTTTTTAATAAGATTCTCCAGACGAATAAGATGCCTGATGTATGGAGGAAAAGTATGATTGTGCCTATCTATAAAAACAAGGGAGATATACAGAATTGTTCAAACTATAGAGGCATTAAGCTAATGAGCCATACTATGAAGTTGTGGGAGAGGGTTATTGAACATCGCTTGAGGAGAGATACCAAGGTTTCTGTAAATCAATTTGGATTTATGCCAGGAAGATGTACCATGGAAGCAATTTTCTTGATGCCACAACTAATGGAAAGATACCGAGAAAAGAAAAAGGACTTGCATATGGTGTTCATAGACCTTGAGAAAGCATACGATAGGGTTCCAAGGAAAGTTTTATGGTGGGTCCTGGAGAAGAAAAAGGTTCCATTAAAGTATGTAAAGGCAATCAAGGATATGTATGATGGGGCTACTACATGTGTAAAAGCTTGTAACGGATCATCAAGTTATTTTCCTATCACGGTAGGTGTACACCAAGGGTCGGCTCTAAGTCCTTACCTCCTTGCCTTAGTTATGGATGAACTAACAAAAGATATTCAAGAGGAAGTGCCATGGTGTATGCTTTTTGCAGACGATATTGTGCTTATTGATGAGAGCAAGGAGGGTGTTAATAGAAAACTTGAATTGTGGAGAAGCACATTGGAATCCAGAGGATTCACATTAAGTCGAAGCAAGACTGAGTATCTGAAGTGTGAGTTTTCTCTGGTACGAGATGAGGACCAAGAACCTGTGCATCTAAATGGTCAAGAGGTACCCAAAAAAGATGCTTTTAAATACTTGGGCTCCATTTTACAAAACGGTGGAGAGATTGATGAGGATGTAAATCACAGAATCAGAGCAGGGTGGATGAAATGGCGCAGTGCATCTGCATTTTTGTGTGACCGCAAAATCCCCCTGAAGTTAAAAGGAAAATTCTATAAAACGGCAGTAAGACCGGCAATGCTATATGGAGCAGAATGCTGGCCAACACATAGGCAACATGAGCATAAGATGGGAGTAGCAGAGATGAGGATGTTAAGGTGGATGTGTGGTTACACAAGGATGGATAAGATAAGAAATGAAGATATTCGACGAAAGGTCGGAGTAGTACCAGTAGCCGAGAAGATGAGAGAACATAGATTGAGGTGGTTTGGGCACGTGATGAGAAGACCCATGGATGCTCCTGTAAGAACAGAAGTTTGTTACCAAGAGCTCAACACAAAAAGAGGCAGAGGTAGGCCGAAGCTTACTTGGGGGAAAGTAGTAAAACAAGATTTAATAGAGTGGGATATAGATTGGCGGACAGTATGTCTTAGAACGAAATGGAGAAAAGCTATAAGTATGGTGGAGGGTTAGACCCGCTGTTATTCCTATGTTCCAGATGGTCCCTTTTTAGTCCTTTTCCCCCACTTCTTCTTGTCCCTTTCTTTTTTACTTTTATTTATTTATATATACATATATTGTTATTTTATCTTATCTTATTTTATATTTTTATTTTATTTGTTTATTTTTATTTATTTTTGGCTTTTTTACTTTTTTACTTTTTTTTTTTTTTTTTTTTTTTTTTTTTTTTTATTAACTTTTTTTCAACCGTTTTGTATCTTTCATGTGGGTTCATCTACCACTGACCCCAATTAATTTGGGATAAAGGTGTTGTTGATGTTGATGTTGAGAACTCTTTGTTCCTCTTGAAGATGCAGACTAGTGTATTGTAATGATAAAACTGGTAAATATAAATGATATTTTTCGTAAGAAGCAATAATTTCTCGTAGTATAATTTAAATTAACTTATTATGAAATATTTCTAAGATGATGGTATATGTAGATTAAAAAAAATTTTCTTTGCTTCACGTAAGTCTAGGGATATTCTTAGTTAATTGCTGTTCTTTCTGTAATCAGCATGGAAGGATTTCATAAATTATTTCTATGCAGGAAGATACACTGGCAATGAGAAAAGAGATTCAAGATCTTAGGACAAATGCTAGAATTTTTCAGCTTAGCAAGTGCACTGCATGCACTTTCACCCTTGATCTACCGGCTGTGCACTTCATGTGCATGCACTCATTCCATTTGCGCTGCCTTGGCGATAATGAAAAAGAATGCCCTGAGTGTGCTCCTGAATATAGGTCTGTCTTAGAAATGAAAAGAAATTTGGAGCAAAATTCTAAGGATCAGGACAGGTTTTTCCAGCAGGTCAAGAACTCTAAAGATGGGTTTTCTGTCATTGCTGAATATTTTGGGAAGGGTATCATCAGCAAAACAAGTAATGGATCCGCGTCTGGTCTGAGATCTGGGAATGCATCATCCAGTAGTGGCTTCTAAGGTTAATGATTTTATGCCGCTTCCTTTCAACACTTTTCTCCATTCAACACTAAACAAGTTGGGCTCTGGATAATGGATGGAATTGATTATTTGACTTCTCCATTAGTGCTTGCTGTCCAGCCTCCATATTCTGGATCACAAGGTTCATATTTTCCATATTGTGCTGGCTGTTAAGATTTACTCAGGAGTGGCTCATTCATGAAGGGAAGTCCCAGAATGGTCTTTTGATGTTATGGCAGAATGTTGAGCTTTTTGGGAGGATTTGAAGTTGCTGGTTGTATGAACCTGAAAAGAATAATTTCGTGACAGCCTCTTCTTGGTGGAAATATTGGACAAATACTTTTGGCAATGTGAGGCTTTTAGGTATGAATTCAAGTGATACCTTTTTTTTTCTTTTTCTTTTCGGTGTGTAAAATTATGGCAGATTGAGATCATGCAGACGAGAATTTTATTTTTACATATAAATGTTTAATTTATGTGAAGGCCATGAGAAATAGTAACAATATGGCTTCTGTCTGTTTTAACCAATAGCCATTGATTTTTGTGGATTTTATCCAATTTGTTATTTTCTTGTGTTGAAAATTCCATTATTACTTTCTATTTATTTAAAGACAAATTCATCTTACTCCATATAACTCATTGCTTGTGACTGACTTCTGATTTGTGATTATAAATTATGAATATTAATAAAAATTGATATTAATAAAAATTGAATTATCAGTAATTTGTGTATTTTGTATGTCTATTTTAATTTATTATATATTCATATATTTATTAAATTTTTATACAATTTAACCCATGACTTATCGATGTCTCGAGTCAATGATTATTGTATAAAAATTTAATAAATATATGAAAAGGTTTACACCAAAATTAAAAAGTTGAAGGTTTATACTGAAAAGGAAATTCAATAGCCATAATACCCTTTTCAAAATTTCAATTCAAATAAAATTAAATTGATAACAATATTTGTATATATAACTTCTTTATGTCACGCTTAAAGGGATTGTAAAACTTATTGTGTTCGAGAGCTATTCAAAAGCAGGGTGTAGAATGACAATTTAAGCTCTTAGTTTCTCCCTTATCAAAGACTAGGGAGTAGAATGGCAATGGAGTGGATGCACACTGTTTTACAAGCAAAATACAAATAAAGCATGTCTAACTAGATTTTAACAAATATAACTCTATAGTAGGCAGCAAGAAATAGAAATGAGAGTAGGTCCAAGCCAATTGTATTGAGTTTCAACTTCTCCAATCTTTGATTTTTCACGTTTGAATATTTTTATAGCCTCTAGAAACTAGTTGTTGAAGTTTTGGAGCGAGTCTTTTACATTCAGGGCAATTAGAGCTCTATTCGGATAGAAATGCAATACAATAGTGTGGGACTCCCAAAATATTAAAATGTGGGACTCTATCACTCCTAATGATCTTCCCCTCAAATGTGAAATCCCATATTATTATTATGCTCTCCTTCAACAAAAGTGCAAACCGCCTCCAAACCGAGCTTATATATCACTATCAAATGGATAAGGGGAAGCCCAATCCGGGGGATACCAGTGGATTAAGCTATATTAATCACAATAAGTGAACTTGATATTGTGTCTTAACCCAAAATTTTAAGACATTAAATTCATGGATTCTTCCATTTATATGTTCTTCACTTTAGTCTATTATTTACCAATATAAGACTCCATCACAGTTAAATATCTCAGCATCCAATTTCCTCTTAAATGGAAAATTCTCTAAGTATTTTATGAAATTATCAATGAAAATAATATATATATATATATATATATATATATATATATATATATATATATTTAGGGATAACAACTTCTCATGTTGGTGGAGAAGTTATTATTTTGCAGCTAACACAATAATTAGGAGAGAGAGAGAAGGGAAAGAAGTGAGAGAAAAAAAAATTGAAGTGGGTTCCCCATTGATGTATATAACATAAGAAGGCTATTCTCCTTTGAAAGGAAAAGTATAAACCCCATATATATATGTGTGTGTGTGTGTGTGTGTGTGTGATCAGAACCATTTTTATCTGGGATGACCATGATAATCTTCCTCTATGCAAATGATTTGAAGCAGCTTTAACACATGAGTCTTCATTGGAACAAGGTGTGTGTGTGTGTGTGTGGGGGGGGGGGGGGGGGGGTATCTGCATGACACTCTGAAGCTTAAGTCACATTTTGTGTAAGCAGGTTTTTCATGTAGAAGAAGATGTGTATCTTATGTTTAGCACATTCATATTTATATTGGAGAGATGTTCAGCTTTTGGAGATGTCCCTGCAAGTGGTGAGGCAACAAAATGTTCAATTGGTTCTTGTATAGGTGGCTAAGATAAGCTTCGTAGAGAGATTGCAGAAGCATCTCAATAGTCTTTATTGACTGAGATATATTACATGAGATACCTCTCGTCATGTTGAAGGCTCCACAAGTGTGCTTTCTTCATGGTGAAGGCTTTAAATGTGGATCTTATATTTCATTCTAGATCAAAAATCCCTCTGAAAGCATAAGTAACGAGATGCAATATATATACACCTGTCATTCATATTTTTTCGTACCTTTCTATTTGTATGCTTTTGTTTCATTTTAGGGGATCTTTCGTTTGTGAGATGCTCTATTGTTTTTGCAAGATGACTTGTTGCTTCTATGTTCAAGTTCTTGAATGCATTTCTTTCTGTCAAGGTTTGGACTTTAGGGTGGAGTTCAATTCTTGATTCTTGGATGCCTAAGGTTCACGCTTTAAGTACTAATCTAGAAGCCACTAGGATTGGTCTAGTGGTGAGGAATTTAGATAGTTTGTATTATGTTATGTGTTCAATTCCCACTTGAATCCACAAAAAAGTACTAATCTAGGTTCATGCCCTAGATTAACGTTCAATTCTTAACACTTGTATGTCTAAGGTTCATGCCTTAGATACCAACTTAAGGTTCAGGCCTTAGGTTGGCATTCATTCATGTTTCCATTGCGGGGTTTTGCCCCAAGTTTATTTTCTTTCTACGAGATGTCTCTAAGTGCTAGTTTCATGTAGGCAATCTTTATCTTCAATTTGATCAATCATTTTTTGCAAGATACGGTTTGAAGAATCTTTAACTTTTTGGAAAAACATGTGACATACGATTTTGTGAAAAATCAAAAGAATTCTAATTTCGTCTGGAGCTTGAGTTGGTTCACTGATTTAGGGATGGATATTCTAGTTTTCATCCCGGAGAAGATGTGCTTAGGATGCACTTTTCTCATTCAATACTGTAGCACCGCTTTCTTCAGCTTCTTCTAAATATTTCTAAATTCTAACCTGTCATTCTCAATACATGATAGCCTATTATATTTTCAGACTTGTTAATCAATTGAAAGTAGCAATGAATCTCATGTTGTCATAATTCACATCCCGTAGTGGAAATAAGATGCATAAAAGCTTATGATGATAAATCATGCTTAAAATAGAAGGCACATAAAAAGGACATTCATAAATTAGAAAATATTTTCAAAGATGTCAACAATAATGTGATCCGTTGTGCTTGGGTCAGGCTACAATTTTCAGCATCGTCATTCACAATATTTTCTTGCTAGAAATTGAACTCTTCAACTTTATAAGGTTTCATATATGACCATGCCCTTTACTTCATATGCTAAGATTTTGACATTTCCACATCCTAATATATATCTTCATTTGCCTTTTCTTTTGCATTCTATAAAATTAATAATTTATCTCAGCATATTAAGAATCATTGATATAACCTCACCCAACTGTTTAAGTTTTTGACTTGAATATATATATATATATATATATATATATATATATATATATATATATATATATATATATATCTATTTATCTCATGTTGCATGGGATAATTATCTCATATAACAGAGACAAGATAGTGGGGTCTACTACTTTTTCAAATAAAATAAAATAAAAAAATAGTGGACCCCACTTCTTTGTCTCTATTGCTGAGATAATTATCTCATGCAACATGAGATAATTATTTTCCTATAGACACACACACACACACACACACATATATATAGGGTTAAACATTTATCCTTTTAAAGAATGAGGAAGATTATACTTACAATTTATTTTCGTTTACAACCATATCTTAATTATTGATTTTCGTCAATCAACAGTTATTATTTTCGCAAATCAAACTCATTAATTAATTATTAAATCACAATAAATGATAACCGTTGATTGACGGAAATCAACAGTTAAGATATGATTGTAAGAGGTTGTAAACGAAAATAGATTGTAAGTATAACCTTCCTCTTAAAGAATATAACTTATGTCCTTTTAGCAATTTATAACTATGTATTAAGGGGAATACATATTTATAATATTAAAGTTATACTTTTTTTTTTTCATTTTACATGTCTGCAAACAATGTTTGAAGAGAGAAAAAAATACAACTTTAATATTATAATTAGAGTAAATACCTTTTTGGTCTTCAGCAAATTTAACGATGCCCGTTTTAGTCCCTAGCAAATAAAAAGGCCCATCGTAGTCCCTAAAAAATTCAAAATGGACCCATTTAGGTGAAACCGTGGCCCCTCACAAATTCAAAAAAACTCATATTAGTCCCTAAAAGGACTAAAATGGGGCCATTTTGAATTTCTTAAGGACCACGATAAGCCTTTTTATTTGCTAGGGACTAAAGCGGGCATCGTGAAATTTGCTGAAGATCAAAAAGGGTATTTACACTTATAATTATGTACTACCCTTAGTACATAGTTATAAATTGCTAAGGGCATGTTTGGTACATAGTATAGGATAAGATCTTAATTATAATATACAACCTGGTTAAATTTTAATACTATACAGCATTTGACATGATATTATATAGGACAATATCATCCAATATTTTGTAATGCACTGTAGAATATTAGTTGAGATAAAAATATATTTTTTTTGACAAAAATACCTTTTAATAATGAATTTATATAAGTCTTCTGAATATATCAGATGATATTAATTTTTATAGAAATCTATTGATCCATGTGTCCAAAAAATATATTAATTTTTACAAAAATAAAAATCTCCAATATTTTAAAAAATTATATATTGAAAAATTATTTTTTATTTTAATATATTAATATTAAAATAATATATTAATTTTTGAAAATTGCACTGGTTAATACATCAACCATTTATCAAACCTAATCTCACCCCCTAGGCCTGATTAAATTATACATCATTTTGATGTATAAAGGGATACTGCTGTATAAGCTTATAATACTATACGATGGTCACACCAAACAATTAAAAATATCATAATATATAGTATAAGCTTATATTATCAGGCCTTATACATCACATCACACAGGCTCTAAAAGAACATAAGTTATATTCTTTAAAAGCACAAATTATTTTTCCATATATATATTGTTAGAATTTGGTATCTACACACAGAAGGATGAGACAACCATACTTGTGTATCTACAAAAAAACTTTTCTTTTCTATTCTTGCTTTCTTGCTCTTTTTCTTTTTCTCTTGATCTACTTGATCTACAAACTATCAAAGGCTATTTATAAGCTATAAAACTGACCAACATAATTCCACACATAACACCCTCATTACTTTATAACTGACATAACTGACTCATTAATATTCTAACTGACATAACTGACTCATTAATATTCTAACTGACACAAGAAACTAAATAACCAAAACTGCTAAAAAACGAACATTTAAAATTTATCCCAACAAAACTCCCCCATAAATTTTGAATTCTTCTTTCTTTCTTCGCGTTGCTTCTGCTTTTCTTCAACTTTCTGATCGCGCCTGTTTGCTTCAATCTTGATCACTGACAAAAAAACATCTAACACCTTCCAACTTAATTAACTCAAAAAAAATATCTCCAACACCTTCCAACTTAATTAACTCAAAAAAATATCTCCCCTGCAATTATTTTTCTGAACATATTTTATTTTATCCGGTGGCTTATTCAATTTGATATTTTCAGTTTCATTAGCAGGACTTTCCTTGTTTCCATTCGCTGTATCTTCTTCACCTGCAAGTTTCTCGTCACCCAAATTCTTCTCAGTTTCATTCGCCACTTCATCAGTTGCTTTCACAATTTTATTTCCTCGTCCAATCCTAATTTCTGCATCATTGGTATTGTCAACAAAACCTCTTTTTCTCTTCAAGACCACATCCTTTTCTTCATATGCACCTTCCATTTTTTCGCCGTTCTTGACTCCTTCATTGTCGTCTTCCTCGCACCTCCTCAATGGCATCTCGGACCAGCGACCTATGCCGGTCGCCGACGTCGACCTCGTTACGCCGGGGTCGAAGTCTCTTCCAAAACATGAACTCAGTGATTTAGCCGGGATCTCCCCCATCCCGGTTATCAACACAAAACTCGGATTCGCGGTCTCCTCCATGCCGGTCTCCATCAAGCACCTCGGCTTCTCAATCTCCTTTCCGATTTTCGACTCTGTCTCCAGACACTCAGGTTCCACGAAGTCTTCTACCTTGAAGATGGACTCGTCGTTCCCGTCCTTCTCCGCTTCGATCTCGGCTCCTTCGTTCTCCTCATCTTCTATCTGAGCTCCTTCGTTCTCCTCCTCTTCTATCTCGGCTCCCTTGTTCTCCTCTTCTATCTCGGCTCCTTCGACCGCAGTCATCTCCATCGTCTTCTTCTTCGAGTCGTCTCTTACGCGTTCTGACACATCAATCTCCTCCGCGGATGCGTTGCCGTTGGCAACCTCGGATTCCGCCATCTCGGTCTCTTCTTCATCCGCATCATTCTCGTCATCTTCATCATCATCATTGAAGATTTCATCTTCTTCATTAATCAGATCAAAACGTCCAGGCAAGTATTTTGTTATGAAGGCCATTAGAAAATCCTTCCACATATTATTAAAGTCGCGGCAGTTTCATGTATGGAACCATTTGATTGCGCTTCCTCTGAGTCTTCTCATGGCTACCTGCCATTTGTTCTCCGTCCAGGTCTTTTCTTTCCGAAAATGTTCCTTCAAACAGAGAAGCCAATCCAATGCTTCATCCTTATCTTCATGGAAGAGTGGCACCTCTAACTCGCTCTTTTTCTCCATAGCTCTGATACCAATTTGTTAGAATTTGGTATCTACACATAGAAGGATGAGACAACCATACTTGTGTATCTACAAAAAAACTTTTCTTTTCTATTCTTGCTTTCTTGCTCTTTTTCTTTTTCTCTTGATCTACTTGATCTACAAACTATCAAATGCTATTTATAAGCTATAAAACTGACCAACATAACTCCAAACATAACACCCTCATTACTTTATAACTGACATAACTGACTCATTAATATTCTAACTGACACAAGAAACTAAATAACCAAAACTGCTAAAAAACGAACATTTAAAATTTATCCCAACATATATATATATACATATATATATATATATATATATATATATATATATATATATGAGATAGGATCCTTTGATACTGGTGTCAAATTTGAAATTTGACTCCTCATCTTAGAGACGTTAGATCAAAAAAGATCAATGGTGTCACATGCTTACAAATCAAAGTCGTTGATCTTATTTGATCTAACGTCTCTCAGATGAGGAGTCAAATTTCAAATTTGACACCGGTGTCAAATGATCCTGCCTCTATATATATATATATATATATATATATATATATATATATATATATGTATATATATATATATATGAGCTTAACATTTCTGCAGCTGCTGTACCTACAGCAAGCAAGATCCGCGTCCGGATCCTAGGATACGGCAACGGATCCTGACTTTTTTCAGGATCCGTTGCCGTATCCTAGGATTCGGACGCGGATCCTTGCTTGCTGTAGGTACAGCAGCTGCAGAAATCATTTTATATATATATATATATATATATATATATATATATATATATATATATATATATATATATATATATATATATATATATATATATCTTATCAGTCATACAAAGCTATATGCTTGCTTATGTGAATACTCTAATGAGCCTGCAATATGGAATGTTTGGAGTCGTGATTGCATTATTCAATCATAAGAAAGATATGAGACTGATATCATAATATGAAAAGTTTGGTACGAATAAAATGAAGGAAGCATTTAAATTCATGTTATGATATTATGAAAGGAATTATGACATGGTATGAATAGCTGTGCATTATCTGCTGTCGAAAAAGATCGGAATTTTCTATGGTTTGCTACAGCTAGAAACAGTATTCAATCATATTCACAGTCGGAATAGCCTTGGTTGGGAATCCCGGACAATGATTTTGTGGTCACAATGATGATCGGGATCAGTATCACTTTCACTATTGATGGAGACTCGCATATTTTATAATTTTGTGTGGACATGTATATACTTGATAGCATGACTATGACTTTGGTGTGAAAGCTGCTTAACTTTTCATATTTAAATATTGTAGATACAACTAATAGTAAGTGTTTATGTAATTACTTAATTAATATGCCTTGAAGGAAAATTATAATAGTCACCTATATCTCGACGGGTTTTCAAAATCAGAAAAAATTCATTTTGTATTTGTGTGTTTTAAATAAGAAAAATATGTCTTTTATATTGTATGAGATAATTTTATCAAGGGTAGAAGTGTCCAAGGCCTTATAAACTTCATATTAGTTGTATATGCAATCAATGTGGCTTGTAACATTGCCACCCTCTTTCACTCTATCGACACTAATTCGATGGTAGCTCTTTTTCTTTGGGCGACTTCACTCACCTATCAATATTCAGTACAACACCCCTTTATGAGGTATGACACCTTAATCCAGCCTATAACACACACAAAAAGTGAATGAGACCCAACTTTTTATTTCTCTCTCTTTTCCTTAGCGTGTCTCATCCACTTTTTTGTATGTTTCATGAAACAATTTTGTCTCACGTAATATGAGAAAAATATTCCACTTTAAATAACTATAACACTTTGTTCCATATAAGAAGATTGAATTTTAATGTGCCGTCTTTATGCAGGAGATGACTATGGGGATAGTAAATTTCTAAATGCACTATGTTGAGGCTAAAACCCTAAAAGTATGCATGACAACTATTCTGTTCCCTGATATTGTTTCTGAAAAGAAATATTCTTTGCTATTTCTGTGCCTTAGAACAGTTTTTGAGAAAAAAATATATGTTTAATAACATGTTATAATTTTGTTTCGAGAATGAGAATTGTGTTTGATAACACAAGAAATAATAGAAGAAAAAATCATTCCTATTAAGCATAAAAAATTTTAGTTCATCACTTTCTTTTTCATATGGTGTAGTGGTGGTGGTGGTGGTGGTAACAAAGATGGTGGTGGTAATGGTGGTGGTGGTGGCGACAGTGGCAATGGTGGCGATAGTGGTGGTGGCAGTGGCGTGGTGATGATAGTGGTGGTGGTAGTTATGGTAGTGATTGTGGCGATAGTAGTCGTGGTTGGTGACGGTGATGACGGTGCTGGTGGGGATGGCGGTGGTGACGGTGATGGTAGTGGTGGTGGCATGGTGATGGTGGGGACGACAGTGATGACGACGATGGTGATAATGGTGGTGTAACACCCCGTATATATCCGGTAATGTTATCATGTTATCGTATTAAGCTGCGCTTAATTAAAATTGCGGAATATCTTTTTCTTTTCAATTATGATGTCGTTAACCATTACCAACTTGATTACTTAACCATTTTCAAAACATCGCCTGTATGTATATTGCAATAAACAGCTAACTGAAATACCTCATTAATTAAATAACATAAGTATGAGTCTCTAGTCACGGAACTACAAAACGTAGACCGGACCATCTAACAGTTTATACAACTCCAACTAAAAGTACTAACCACAAAGTGGCATGGACAAACCCCATGCTCACCCAAATAAGGCAACAAAGCCCAACATCAGTGTCAACAACAACAACATAAGCATATAAGTACAGAAAACATAAACAACATCCAAATCCAGCATTCACAGAGGTAAGCATAACTAACAGCAATAATCATCAACTAAGCTCTGGCCTCCTGCCGACAGAGACATCAGTCCCCATACTACCTAAACCTGAAATAAGCATTCCCCAAACGTGGGGTGAGATCTTTAAACAAAAAATCTCAGTAAGGCAAGGGGTCCTCAAGGATCTTCCACCCCAAGCTCACTTACATGTGCAATATAAGTTCAAAAGCAGTTTATCATCATCAGTTCTAAAATAGTGCAATGCAGCAGATAATCATGTCATGTGTGTCAATACTATTCTACTAGCCAGAGAAATGCAGGATTTATATACGCCAAATACCCACACATAGTGCAAGACGCCACTTGCATCCACCCCGGATCACCGTCTTGTATGACGCCACATACTCAGGCTTACTGTCAAGATGGAAACACATGCATATTAAAAGCCATTACACATAAAGCTCAACAACATTTCAAATATCCAAAGCATGTAACACAACATGCATATAACCATACCCCCATGGGACATGGTGGAACCACAACATGGCTAAACCGAGGACACGAAAGCTTACCTTGTAAGCTAGCTATCCAAACCAAGAGTCCACACAGCTCAAGGCCCACAAACAACACAATCACAATCTGCCCATACCATAATTACTCATCAATAATCATAGCTCAGATTACATTAAGTGATTAAGTCTTTCCTACTCATTTTAACTCATTACATGCTGCTTCTGCAGGAAGTATTCGATACTCCACGAGTAGTATTCGAATACTCCAGCTCTGCAGAAAGTATTCGATTACTTTCACTAAAGTATTCGAATACTCACAAGTATCCGAATACTTTCCCCCCAGTATCTGAATACCTTAGTATCCGAATACCAAACCTCACTGTATTCGAATACCTTTCAGTATTCGAATACTTCTTCAAAGGTATCCGAATACTTTTCTTCCCAGAAAAGTATTCAAATACTCCTGCAAGGAGTATTCGATTACCAAGGACAAGTATTCGAATACTACACAGAAAGTATTCGAATACTTCTCTAACAGAATGCAGAAATTCGAGCCAACTTCTACATAAAGCCAAATTTAAGGATCCAAAAGCGATTGGGAGTCCAATGACTCCCTAAACAGATAACCACCAACATGTTATGAACCTAAAAACACATTCCTGTACTCAAATGGTTAAAGTTTCACTTATTAACCGATTAAGTAAGCTTAAAACCTCAAAATGCACAAAGGATGATCATGAATACCTCCAAGAGGTTTAAACTCAGAAAATGGCACTGACTTGGAGCCTCCAACACAGCTCTAAGGTACTGACTTCTTCAAGAAACGAAAAGACACACCAAGGTTGGTTCTTTGGGCCAAAGATGACTCCTTGGCACCACCAATGCCAAGCCAAAGGTCCACACTCTCTCTACACTCAAAGTCAGCAACAAACACCACCCAAACAGGGGTCGCAAACTCAGAATGATGCACTCCACACCTCCCAAGGCCAACTCTCACAAGCTACAAGTGTTCAAGGTGTATAATCTCTCATAAAGATGGTGTCTTGAAGGATTTTTGTGAAGAAAACTCCATGGAATAGAGAAAAGGAAAAGGAGGCAGCAGCTACACACACAACCCACGCATAGAATGGTTGAGTATCAGCCTAGGGTTGTGTGTAAGTGACTATTTATAGTCCACTTAACACTAACCACAATGTATTAACATAATTAGCTACGCATAGCATTTTAATCCCAAACTTAGGATTCTTAACCTACTCAGTTTTACAAGAATTAACATATTTTTCTTATATTTTTCGGAGCACATTTTCGGTACGCGCTTTTCATAGCCAGTATTAGTTTCTGGCACCAGTTTTCATTATTTTAACTTGAAACTCGTTTTACAAGTCGTACATATTATTCTAGTAATATTCATGCACTTATTATAATTTTCCAAGATACTTTTTCGGTACGCATTTATACCGACTAGCAGAACCGGTATCTGCACTTTTCGTCAGAAAAGCGACTTTCAGCATTATTATTCACTTACTATAATTATTAGAGCCTCATAATAATTATTAGGGTCAATTATAGAATTATCTCATTAATCTCATAATTAACTGATTAATTTCCTTAATTAACGGTGCAGGTTCTTACAGGTGGCATAGTGGTAGTGATGGTGGTGATAGTGGTGGTGTCATCATGGTGGTCGTGGTCGTGGTGGTGATGACGACGGTGATGGTATGACAACGACGACAACGACGACGATGGTGGTGGTAGTCGTGTTGGGATAATGGTGGTGGTGGTGGTGATGATGATGGTAGTGGAGGAGAGTGATTGAAAGAGACAAATGTTTCTCATTTTATGGCCGGGAACAAAAAATAGATATTTTTTTATTCTTTCTTCTGTTCCCCAACACAGAAATTGAATCGATTCATTCTCGGGAACAAAAAGATGAACCGATTTTGTCAAACACTATTTCTATCCATTTCTGTTATCAGAAACAACAATTAAAAAAAAAACTGATTCTGGAAAGGTTCTCATATCCACCCTAAAAGTTTTAGATATTTATATTTAATGTGTAACCTTCTATACATAGGTATGGTTAGAGTGGTAGTATTTAGGTAGGATACAACTTCCTTATTTGATAAATCCCCTTATCAAATAGTTTGAAGTTGAATATAGGGCAATTTTGACCCTAATTTTTTTATTTTATACTAATTCTAATTATTTTTTGAAACAAGTCGGCCTAAATATTTCCATAAATTTTAACTCTTTAAACCAGCTACGAGAATAATCTTTTAAAATATGTGAAACTGTTATGCTAGTTCAAAATACATTTAATGAGATTTTTGCAGCTGCCATATAAGTTATAGATACCATAATATTCATGTAAATAAATTAGAAATATTATTATTACAAAACAAAACAAAAAATTAGAAATATTACAACATTAGCACTCAATGGCTTTTCCCACCCTCTGCCTCAACACTTACCCCTTTACTTAAACATTGTAATTTTCAGAAACAACAACACAACATTTTTCATACACAAAAAAAATATAAATTTTTTTTTTAACAACTCTTTACTCAACGCTGAAAATAGTTCTGAGAATTAATGTGGCACATCAACAAATAATGGGGCTAATAATGTGTGGAAAAAGCTACACAGAATGCTACTATTTGTGGAAATATTACAGCTATCAAATTGAATTGCCGGCCTAAACAGAAACAAGAACAATATATCTTTATCCCTATGACCATTTAAAAGGATTCTCCATCCAACGGTTGATAAATATTCTGCATGTTTAACGAGATGTTTCTTGTCCACATTCATAGGTCTAGTTAAAGTCATAAAGTGATCTTTGTTGAACAAAAGTCCCCAAGTTCATCCACCTTTACTTTGAATGGAAGACTTGTGGGAAAATTGGATTTCTTCTTTGGTAATGAGACATGATATTCAAGATAATGTTCCTCTTTTATTGGATATAATGATCATCTCTACACATAATAATCTTTTCCACGTTCATGATTTTAACTCTTTATCTTTTTTGGTGTTTTCCCATTGTTCTTATAGGAAATGGGTGACAACAATTCCTTTGCTCAATCTCACATGAACTCTTCTGATGAAGATAAGTTTCTCACAGAGATTGTACATCAACAACAACCATGTTTCTCCTTTGAGAGTGTTTACCACTCTTCCACCATGCAACATAACACTGCTAATTTCACCACAAGCACCATCGAAAGCACATTATCCTGTGAAGAATATGCAAGGTTTGATAAGAGACATAACAACATGCTCAAGAGTAATAGCAGCTCCAACTCCATAAACATCTCTCAAGATCATGTTGCTGCTTCACACAAACCTTCAGCAGCATCATCATCATCTCCAAACACCTTCATTTTCTCCTTTGAAAACTCAACTGTGGAACCAGCACTGCATAGACCTTCCCCGAAAGATTTTGGTGGTGATGGTACATGTTCTTCCATTTTGTGCTCAAAAAGAACTATGAGTAACCATATCATTGAACCAAAGGCAAAGCAAGGAACCAAGAAGTTTAAAAGCTCATCTGAGACACAAGATCATATAATGGCTGAGAGAAAAAGGAGACGGGAACTTACTGAGAAGTTCATAGCACTTTCTGCCACCATTCCTGGATTGAAGAAGGTCAGTTCTGTAACCCAAAAATTCATCATGTTCATCAATCATAGATTCGTAATCAAATTGTAAGTGTTCCTAAATTTTTTTCGTGTGCATATATATATATATATATATATATATATATATACACGGGAAAAGTATTTCTACAGTCACTTTAGATAAGTTTGTCTACAACTACCATTTTTAACTAAGTATGACCGATCATACTTAGTTATAACAATTAACAATAAAGCTGTTCTTTTTTTCTCTCTCATCAAACACTGTGTCTGCTGACGTGGCAGAGAGAGAAAATGCAATTTTAAAGTATGACCAGTCATACTTTAATTAAAAAAGAATAGCTGTAGACAAGCTTATCTAAAGTGGCTGTAGAAATGTTTTTCCCTAGGAGATAATAATTATCTCCTACTGACTCATTTGTATAAGTGGGATCCACTTTTAAGGGAAGAGTGAGAAAAAATAGAGTGGGACCCATCTTGAATTTGTGTGTGTAGGAGATAAATTTTTTTTATGTAACCAAAGAATAATAAATCTCATATATATATATATATATATATATATATATATATATATATATATATATATATTCTTAATTTCTTCCCTCAATCAATGTCTCAAACTTTATTTACAATATAAATGTTTACGTAACTAATCACCATTGGTTCAGATGGGAAGAAAGTTTTTCTCCTTAATCAGATATTTTAAGATTGTGTTATGAAAATGAAAAAATAGTTAGTCCCTTATATGATCCGATTATACTCGAATTAGATTAATTCAAATTTTTCATGAATCGCGTTGAAAATAATATATTTTAACTTATTATGTGAGATTGAAAAACTCAGCACTAATCCGAAGGTGTAATACAGTTGGCAAGCCGACTGTGGCTCAAGGGTCGGACTTTGGTTACTAACGAAATCATGAGTTCGATTCTTAAAAGAAGTATTTTGGAGTCAGTAGTGAAAACTTTTTTGCTCCGAGCCACAAAGAGATTAATCTCATCATTATATAGCGGGGACACTCTGAATTTACTCAAAAAAAAAAAAAAAGTCAGCCATGAAGTAGTGATTTAGTTGTTTCTTATAATCGGAATCTCAAGTGTTCGAGTCTGGAAAAATAATTTCTTCACAAAAATATAAAAATATAAAGATAAAATTATATACAATTAACTATCACCTCTATACTGAGAATTGCCTATCGAAGTAACTGAACCGGTGAACAGATCCTTGTCAGGGGAATGAATCAAATGCAACTAATGAACTCAATGCATCTTGAACTTTAATGTGTGGAACAGTCTCTTGAATTCAAAATACTCGATGTGTGTGTGGAAAATTTAGAAAGGAAAAAGCACAAAACCCCACCACGTGAAAAGTGAGGCATGGTGGCAGAAATATCAAAGGTTTTGTTTCTTTTTAACAAAGTTCACAGTAATTTCTGCCCATTTACATCAAAGCTTTCTGCTTCACTGTCTGGCATGTGCCCCCTATGCTGTTTCTTTTCTTTATCAAATACGTACAATGCTAAACAAACATATCAAGTTTTCTATATTTATCTTAAAGTTGAGTGTGCCATCTACTAGGAATTAACTAGGATACAGTTTTTATTCTATATGTGTATTTGATGGATCAGCTATATGTTTTGACAAGCGATATTTCTTATTTCTTTACAAAGAATAGGAAACTAGTGCTAAATATACGGGATTTAATATTTTTGCTTTTATAATACGATCCATTCACTTTTACTTGTAATTTTTAACCGCGTGAAACCTTTATTATTTCTGTTTCATAATTAACTCTTTCATTATTATTTATGAGAAAAGATATTGTGACAACCAAGTTGTGTTACTACTAAGTGACTACCAATCAATCTCACCGTTAGATCGATTATGTTGATCCAACGGTTATATTTATTTTCATCTTTGTATGGTCATGATTCCTCATATTTAAAGTGAAAGCATTAAATATGGGAAATCATAACCATGCAAAGGTGAAAACAAATATAAAGTATTAAATATGGGGAATCATGACCATAGAAAGATGGAAATAAATATAACCTTTGGATCAATATAATCGATCTAACAGTAAGATTGATTGGTAGTCACTTGGTAGTAACACAACTTGGTTGTCACAATATCTTTCCCCATTATTTATTTACTTATACTTAGTATATATATATACATAAAAAGGAAAATTTATTTGTGAATTGGCTTCCGACTTTGCGAGAGTCGGAATTGAGTTAATTATACATTGTTTTACCCTTTTTTTTTTTTTTTAAAGAGACTATTTCTTATACTTGAATCTGTAACTCATAAAGGAACAATCTCATTGTTGCTCCAAGGCTCCCCTCCTAGTATAATATTTATCAAATGGAAAAAAAAATTAACATAATATATTTTGCTTAAGGGGAGGATCAACTTACGTGAGTGTAAGCCTTATACCTATTATCAATCATTGATGTTACTGGCATTTAACAGCTCAAATTTATTAGTCATATGTGTTGGGAACTCGGTTCTCTCAAGTTGGCTAAGCAGCCTTTTGCGGAAGTCAGTCAATGAGATCCTGGATCTCGGATCTCGGCAATTACCTCGGCCTGAACTTCACCAGGTCGGGCAGCGCAGCGGAAAAACGAAAAACACAAACAGGAGAGAGAGAGAGAGACAGAAGGAGAACACAAACAGATTTTAACGTGAAAAAACCTTCTCCAATGAAGAAGTAAAAAACCACGGGACCTAGTCCAGATCAAACGTCCACTATGAAAATAATGGATACAAAAGATCAAAATACACCAATGTGGTGGTTAACACAACCTCTCCAACAATGTTGATAATCAAACTACTCTAGAGATGTTTCACTCAAACTCTATCTAGAGATCTCTTAAATTCAAAGCTTAAAGCTTTGCTTTCAAATATCTCAAATAATTTTCTCTCTCTAATTCTCTAACCTAGCCTCCACCCACAACTAATGAATATATAGAGTAGGTGGAATCTAGGGTTTAAGGTTTTTAAGAAACCCCTCAATGGGCTTGGGCTTAGCATTGAAGGAGGAAGCCCAACAAATCTCCCCCTCCGACTTCAATGCAGTCTTCAAATTTCCTTGCTGGAACCGGCTTTGTCATCATGTCGGACCAATTATAGACAATGTGCACTTTGACGAGTTCGAGCTCTCCACCTTCCACCACATCCTGGATCCAGAGATACCTGACATCAATGTGCTTAGTGCAGGAGTGATAGGTCGAATTCTTCGCAAGATGGATTGCGCTTTGATTGTCACAACCCAGCTCGTACTTGTCTTGATCATGGCCGAGTTCCATGAGGAACTTCTTCATCCACAACATCTCTTTGCTTGCCTCAGTAACAACAATGTACTCAGCATCGGTTGTCGATAGTGCAATACACTTCTGAAGTCTTGATTGCCAAGAGACAGCCCCTCCTGCAAATCTCATCATGTATCCCGTCGTCGACTTCCTCGAGTCAGAATCTCCCCCAAAATCAGAATCCGAGTAGCCTTGTAACTCGACTTTGCCTTCTCCAAATCGGAGGCATAAGTTGGTTGTACCTCGGAGGTACTTGAAGATCCACTTCACTGCTTCCCAGTGCTCTTTACCGGGGTTTGACAAATATCGGCTTACCATTCCAACAGCATATGCCAAGTCGGGTCTAGTGCAAACCATTGAATACATCAAGCTTCTGACAGCGGATTAGTACGGGATCTTCAGCATCTCTTTGTCTTCATCAGATCTGGTTCAGCTTTATGTGTCCGGCTAGAGGTGTGCTCACTGTTTTGGCTTTGTCCATGCTGAATCTCTTTAAAATCTTCTCAATATACTTCTCTTGACTCAGCCACAATAGCTTCTTTTATCTATCTCAGATAATCTTGATTCCGAGAATCTGCTTTGCAGGGCCGAGGTCCTTCATTGCGAAGGACGAGCTCAACGCCTTTTTCAGGGCAGCTATCCTTGATTTGTCTTTCCCTACAATAAGCATGTCGTAAACATATAACAACAAAATCAAAAAATCTATGACCTCATACCTCTTCACAAATACGCAGTGGTCGGCTTCTGTCTTCTCAAACTTGTGATCAGTCATGAATGATTCAAACTTCTTATACCACTGCCGAGGTGCTTGCTTCAAGCCATAGAGGCTCTTTTTCAACCGACATATCAAGTCTTCTTTGTCTGGAGCTCGGAACCCCTCAGGTTGCTCCATATAAATTTCTTCTTCTAAGTCACCATGAAAAAATGTCGTCTTCACGTCCATTTGTTCTACCTCGAGGTCCAAAGAAGCCGCCATGGCTAACACGGTTTGGACCGAGGTCATTTTCACCATACGAAAAAAAGATCTCCTTAAAATCTACACCTTTCTTCTGATTGCAGCCTTTCACTTCAATCCGGGCTTTGTATCTCGGCTTCAGCCTGTTCTCTTCATTCTTAATCTTGTAGACCCATTTATTTTTCAGAGCTCGTCTTCCTTTTGGCAACTCGGTCAGCTCATAAGTCTGATTCTCGTGCAAAAGACTTCATCTCGTCTTGCATGGCCTTTTCTCATTCTTTTTTCTCTGAGCTCGTCATAGCCTCATCATAACTCTGAGGCTCACCGTTTTCAGCAACATCGGTGTATTCATCAGATGGATATCTTATAGAGGGTCTTCTTTTTCGAGTTGGATATCTCGGCTGTTCTTCAGCTTGAGAACCCGGTTCATCATTCTCATCCCGGATCTCATCATCAACTCGGACCTCAGTATCTTGGTCATCATCAACTTGTTGCTGGTCATCAATTTCTTCATTTTCTTGATTTTCTCCCCCTGCTTCAGCTCGGACATGAGGAACAGGTTCTTCACGTCTGACAGTAACCCGGACTTTGGGCTTCGAGATGTCATGAATAGTCTCATCTTTATGAAATATCACATCTCAGCTTCTCACTATCTTCTTATTGATTGGATCCCAAAGTCAGAACCCGAACTCACATCTCGGCAAAACAAGATAGATGCATTCTTTTGTCTTCGCATCAAGTTCTTCCCTTTCATCTTTAGGGATATGCACGAAAGCTCGGCATCCAAACACCTTCAATTGATTATAGGCCTCTTTCCAACATGTCTACACTTCTTCTGGAATTTCTCCTTCAAGTGGCCGTGATGGTGAGAGGTTGATCAAGTCAACAGCAGTTCTGACGGCTTCTCTCCAGAATGATTTCGGCAATCCAGCATTGGATAGCATACTTCAGACCTTCTCTTCAATAGTCCGGTTCATCCTCTCAGCAAGTCCATTCAACTGTGGAGTCTTGGGGGGCGTCTTTTCAAGTCGGATCTCAGCCGCTCTGCAATATGCATCAAAAGGGCCGTAATACTCACCATCATTGTCAGATCGGACCACCTTCAATTTCTTGCCAGTCTCCCTTTCAACCATTGCATGAAATTCTTTAAAGGATTGGAGTACATGGTCTTTAGACTTCAACAAATAAACCCACATTTTGCGGGAGTGGTCATCAATAATGAATGAAACAAAATACTGAGCTCCTTCTAGAGATCTCTCCGACATAGAGCAAATATCAGTATGGACGAGGTCAAGAATATACATGTGTCTTCTGGGTTGATCCGGTCTCACAAAAGAAACCCGGTGCTGCTTTCCAGCTAGGAAGTGCGTACAACTCTCCAGCGCTTGCCCTTTTAACCCGGTCAATAATCCTTTCTTGTTCAGAATTTGGAGCCCTTTCTCGCTCATGTGGTCGAGGCGTTTGTGCCATAGCTCCAAGCTAGGTCAATCTCGGACAGAATTGGCTTCTCCGCCATTGATCTTTCCTTGCATCACGTACAATGAGCCTTCCTTCTTGCCTCAGGCAACAACCAAGTTTCCCTTTTCCAGCTTCCATCTAACATTATCGAAGTAGTTCACTAACCCAACATCGTCAAGCTTGCCTGCCGAGATTAGGTTCATTTGCATGTCAGGAACATGCCTTACATCTTTTAACACAAGTCGGCACCCAATATCCGTTGTCAGGGTTACATCACCGACACCAACAATCTTGCTGGTCACTTGATTTCCTATCTTCACGACTCCAAAATCACCACCTCGATAAGAGGAGAAAAAACCTTTGTGTGGAGTAACGTGGAAGGAGGCACCAGATTCAACAATCCAGGTGTAGTCATCATATGCAACATTCAAATAATTATCGTCACCTAGGAGGAATATCTCGACATCCGAGTTGGCAGCCACAGCAGTGGTGCTCTTGTCTTCCCTCTTCTAGGGAATAATCTGATCCGGCTTCACAAAGCCGTTCTTCTTGTCATTTTGCAGGGTCCAACAGTCTGGTTTCTTATGTCCTGTCTTCCCACAATAGAAGCACTTCAACTCATATTTTGACTTTGACCGACCTCTGGACTTTCCTCTTCTATCACGATCTCGACCCCGACTCTTCCTTCTACCCCGGGAGTCGGATTTCCCTATATTCTCATCAACGTTGGCCTCAGACGTGCTCGAAACACCTTGTTCTCTTCTCCTGACTTCTTCGTTCAGGAGAATGTCTGTCACGACATCCATCTTCAATTTTCCATATGGAGTCGAATTACTCAAGGTCACCACCAGAGTATCCCAGCTTTCTGGCATCGAGCTCAACAGCACAAAGCCTGCATCTCGTCATCAATTTTCATCTCAGCCTTTGACAGCTGATTCACAATACCTTTGTAGGTGTTGAGGTGTTCAACCATGCTCATGCCGTCCTTGTATTCCAGCTTCACAAGTCGGCGAACCAGGTGTGCTTTGTTCCTGGGGGTCTTCTTCTGAATCATGGACTCCAACTTCGTCCACAACTCATACGCGTTCGTGAACTCAGACACGTGCTCAAAGAGGCTCTTGTCTATGTATTTTCTAATTGTAGCTACCGCCTTACGACTCTAAATATCCCACTCTTTATTGATTTTGCCTGCCGATCTCTCATCTAGGATAATGGGCTCATGTAAATCTTTGCAATAGAGATGATCTTCCATCATCGGTCTCCAATAGGTGAAATTGTCTGCGGTCAGCTTGAACATATCTCCATCATGGGTTATGCCACTGGTCTCAATCTCGTCTCCTTCAGAACCCGTCGAACTCGAGCTCTGATACCACTGTTGGGAACTCGGTTCCCTCTAGTCGGCTAAGCAGCCTTTTGCAGAAGTCAGTCAATGAGATCCTGGATCTCGGATCTCGAAAATTACCTCGGCCTGAACTTCACCAGGTCGGGCAGCGCAACGAAAAAATGAAGAACACAAACAGGAGAGAGAGAGAGAGAAGGAGAACACAAACAAATTTTAACGTGGGAAAACCTTCTCCAATGAAGAAGTAAAAATTCACGGGACCTAGTCCAGATTAAACGTCCACTATGAAAATAATGGATACAAAAAATCAAAATACACCAATGTGGTGGTTAACACAACCTCTCCAACAATGGTGATAATCAAATTACCCTAGAGATGTTTCACTCAAACTCTCTCTAGAGATCTCTCAAATACAAAGCTTAAAACTTTGCTCTCAAATATCTCAAATAATTTTCTCTCTCTAATTCTCTAACCTAGCCTCCACCCACAACTAATGAATATATAGAGGAGGTGGAATCTAGGGTTTAAGGTTTTTAAGAAACCCCTCAATGGGCTTGAGCTTAGCATTGAAGGAGGAAGTCCAACAATATGAACATTTAGATGTAAGTGGGATCAACTACTAATAACATGTGTACGGATTATTAGACTTAGTATGATGTAATCCTTTCCCTTTACTTAAATTTGTAGTGCCTAAGTCATTCCCGAAACCAATAATAAAACCTGGTTATCCAATAATTTGATTGAGCTTATGTTTGGCCCAAATTCATTAACTACACATTCATGAATATACCCATCAGTTAATCTTACACTAATCCGATACAAGCATTATTAGAACCGTTATAGGAGGTGACTCCCAAAACCATTTTCTTTATTTTGAAGGATCGAACTCAAGACCTCTAGTTATGGAAAACAAACCTTACTACTTGAACTAGTGGTGATTGATATTAACTACACATGCATGGCATAAGTATTATCACATCGCCTAGTTTCATTATATTTCTTTGTCTGCATAGTACAGATTAGCATTATATAATTCACGAATTAAAAGGCCCTTTGTGTATTTATAGACAGACAAGGCCTATATACTTCGAGAAGCTATGAATTATATGAAACACCTTCAGGAGCGAGTAAAAGAGCTAGAGAATCAGAACAAAAGGACAACAGCTGAAGATTCAGTAATATTCATTGAGAAATCCCATGCATTTGCAAAAGAGGAAAACAAGTCATGTGAAACAAAATCACTGCTTCAGGTTGAAGCAAGAGTCTTAGAGAAGGAAGTTCTCATTGGAATTCACTGTGAGAAACAAAAGGACATTGTGCTTAAAATAATGGCCTTGCTTCAAAATCTTCATCTATCTCTTGCTAGTAGTAGTGTATTGCCATTTGGGACTTCCACTCTTAAAGTCACCATTATTGCTCAGGTAAACAATAACAGCATTTCATTTTCCAAAATTTTATTTCATTTTCTCTTATCACAAGAGATAAAGTTATTTCCTGTCATCCCAAAAAATGTCGTTTTGGGATTTAAGAAAGAAAATGCAGAGTATTTTGGAAATTGTATTTTCCTCTTGCATCATAATTTTTTCTAAAATATCCTGCGTTATTTTTTATAAATTTTAAAACGACATCATTTTAGGATTAGAGGAGATAACAAAAATCCCTAATTTGAAATACTAATGACTGCTTTAGCTATCATGCAGATGGGGGATAAGTTCAGCATGAACGTGAATGATCTAGTTAAAAACCTGTGGCAAGATCTCTTGAAGTCACATGAAATTCAAAATTAATATTTTCTAGAGAGCCAAAATAAATTAAAATCTCCAGTTCATGTTTATGGGGACATAGAGGAATGCAGAGATTTTAGTGTGGTAGAGAGAGGTGTGAGTATCAATAATGTATTAAGATATTACGAGTATTTGTTTGTAATGAATTTAATCTCATAATGTACCAATTAAGATATGCACAACTTATAATAAGAAAAATTAATCTTTTCGCAATTTCATTTTCTCACAATTTATAAAGAGTTTTTGTACAATATTTTGGTCGAAAGAGAGAGAAGATCAGGTAAGCATGATAGTGTTCTTCCTTACTTGTTTTGCCTTATTATATTCATACCAAATGTATCTCCCTTTCAACATAATGTTTTGATTTTAAGTTTAAGCCCCTTCAAATTAGGTGTACATAATAAATAGAATAATATATAATATTTATTTTTATTTAATCCTTGAATTATTGAAAAATACATTCCATGCATTAAAAATTATAAAAATAATAGGTTGATCCTAGCTATGAGAGAATTAAAATTTAATTCCTACGTCAATAGAAAAATATAATTAAATACCCCAACTACGTAGTTTGAACACAACTGAATTGAATTCATGAAAAGAAAAATACGCAGAACTATTTCAAATCAGTTTGGAATTTTTTAGAGTACAGATAGGTCCCTTACTGATACTGTGAAAAATTAACACATACCGATATGGGGAAAGAATTAATATATATATATATATATATATATATATATATATATATATATATATAATAAAATTAGTCGCATTTTGTGAGAGAATTTAATATTAATTTACTATTTCAATCATATATTACAATTATAATATTTTATTATAATATTTATTATTATAATAATATTATTATAATATTATTTTACTTTATTTTTTCGTAAATAGAAGGAAAGAGAGAAAACAGAAATAAAGAAGACAACTGGAGACTCAGAAATTTTAGAAGTCCTGCAGGAGAAGAAGAAAAAGGAGGAAAAGAAATTCAAAAAGGAAGATTTTAAAGAAAGGATAAATTTTCTTTTCAAACATAAACACACAGAATAATAGTTTTTCTTATTTTATTTTGCATCTTCTTTTAAAATCCTGACTGGTTTCTTTTCATTTTGTGAAGGGTTATATAATTTTAAAAGGAGAATTTATCACTTTCCAATATATATATATATATATATATATATATATATATATATATATATATATATATATATATATATATATATATATATAGGGAAAAGTGTCTATACTTTTAAATTACACAACTTACATCCTTTCACTCTCACAAAGAGGTGGGACCCACAACTTTATTTTTTTTTGTCAACTCTCTCTCCTCCTTTATCTATCTCTTTCTCTCTCTTAAAATGACACAATTTTTTTTTTTTTGATAACAAAATGACACAATTTTACATCCTTCAAAACTATACACACTTTTCCCATATATATATATATGGTAAAATCATTTCTGCACAACGACAGGTGTATTATGATTCTTCACATTTAATGTTTTCATCCTTTGTATGGTTATGATTCCCTGCATTTAATGTTTTCAAGTATATATTTGGCATGTATTTGATTGTTGCACGTACAGTAGCTGCAGAAATGTAAACTCGTATATATGAGGAGGGATATTCTCACTACCAAAATTTTCCACTACCAACTTACTACGTATTTAATCACCATTAGATTAACATTTTTTTTCTCTTCAAAAACTTTTTAACATTCTCTCTCTTTGATCTAATGGTGATGTGATGGGTAGTAAATTAGTAGTAAGAATTTTTGGTAGTTAGAATATCCTCATTATATATATATATATATATATATATATATATATATATATATATATATATGGGGAGGGATCATTTGACTCAAGAGTAAGACTTAAAAATCTTACTCTTCATCGCAGCCGTTGATTTCCGTTCATCTGACGCTTATAATTAATTGTTATAATTTATTAAATGATAACCATTAGATAAACGAAAATCAACGGCTGCGATTAGGAGTAAGACTTTTAAATCTTACTCTAGAGTCAAAATAACCCTATATATATATATATATATATATATATATATATATATATATATATATATATATGAGTTTAATATAGCTATAATTAAATATGATTATTATTGGATTATAACTTTCAATTATACATGCTATGATATTTGGAGCTATGCCTATCTATGGAGGAATTTTAAAATTGTTTTTACCCAAAGTAATGGCTAGATGATTTGAAGTGGTCAAAAGATGATCATAGGGTTTGCTTGTGTGGTTTCCCAACCAAAGGTGATTGGCCATTTGGGTCCTCATGATCTTCCTATGGTATATATAATAGTACGAGGTTTGTGATCTTGGAGTTTTTGTACCTAGGTTTTGTTCCGTATACTTTGTTCGTGTTGTAGCAGGAGGTTTCAACACCATAGTTTTGAGAAGTATAATCAAAGCTTTAAGCCTCAGTTTGAAGAAATGTGATTGGAAATGTAAAGAATAATTTTAACTCAAAACTATAAGGTGTTGAGGATGCTGGTTTTTTTAATGATATTATATTATTCTATAATACATCTCTCACGCAAGAGTCCTTTGAACTTGAAGAGTACAGACTCAATTTTTGGTTTACTTCGTGCTTGTTTTAATTTCACTAAAAAGTGGAGGCAGTAAGAATCGAATCCGTAATCTTGTGGTCATTGAAGCTCTGATATCACGTAAAGAATTATTTTAACCCAAAATCTTAAAGTGTCGAGTGACGACATTTTTAATGGTTTTATATTATTTTTTAACATGAAATCTAAGCCTCGATTTCAAACGTTGTAACCTGAGGTTTAGTCCTCGAATTCAAGAGATATGACCGGAGGTTTAAGCCTCGATTTGAAGTGTTTGTAACCAGAGACTTGGACTTCGGTTTGAAGAGGTGTGATAGGATGTTCAACTCTCAATTTGAAAAGGTGGAACCAGATGTTCAACCCACAGTTTGAAGAGATATCACTAAGGGATGTATTGTATTGATATTTTAAAAGGTTTTAATGGATTGTTTTTGGATAAAAAATTCCATTGGCATTCAATTAGGGTTTTAAAAAATTAAAAAAAAAAGTTACGTGGTATTCGATTAGAATTTTAAAAGATTATTTTAGAATCCATCCAAATCCGATGATATTCAATCAGAATTTTAAATAAAAGAAAAATAATTTTGTAGTATTCTAAAATCTAATGATTTTAATGAATTTTCTAGTGGTGTGAATTTCGTGAGACTGTTTAGTTAGAAATATAAATAGGATGTCTCTCTCACAATCTCATCATAACCCCTAATGAGTTAATATCAGTTTATAGCTGTTGGACATCAAAATATTTGAATTACTTCGAGTTTAAGTAACTTCTAAGTGAAAGTATTCGATTACTTTTCGTGGAGTATTCAAATACTTCTTCAAACCCAGAAAGTATTTGATTATCATTCATCAAGGCAGAAAGTATTCGATTACTTTTATGCAGATGACAGTTTTCATGCTATTTTTTGAATCTCTATGCATCTAATTGATTTTCAGTGACTTCTAAATGATTTCTAGTGACATCTGATATATGTATGATCATGTCTCACACTTGTATAACAACTCTTGATGTGTGTGTGATCTTGTATGCATGATCAAAGTGAATATATGTCATTTATATGAGTTTATGGTTTAATTATGCATTTTCTAAGATAAAGCTCAATAAACTCATTCCTATAAGTTCTATGACTCTAAATAAACATAACAAAGAATAAGTCCATGAGTCTTCTTCGTCTTCATTATTTGAGTCTTCTAGTACTTCTTAATCCACTTGAAACTTTGTCTTGAGCTTTAACTTTGGTAATTTGAGTCTTCTCTTCAACTTTGCACTTTGTTTTATACTTCTTGTACCATTTAGAACTTGTTGTCATGCCTTGTATTAAGAGCATCCATGTTGAGCTATGTTGGTCCTTTCTAGGTGCTTTGTTATCATCAAAACTTCAATATCATAGTCTTCATGACCTATGGTTCAACAAGAGGGACCAAATACCATTTGCCATTGTGCTGAAGAGCACTCATTTCATCAACCATAGCTTGTCTCCATCCAGAATGTGAAAGTGCTTCACCTGTAGTCTAAGGAATAGAAACAGAAGACAAAAAGGAAAGATATACAAAATATGATGGAGAAACATGATGGTAACTAATATTAACTGTATATTTGGCTAGAAGGCGGGTATCACGGGTACCTTTACGGAGAACAATGAGAAGGTCACTAGCCAAAGGTGGGACAGAAGACGGGGGAAGAGATGCAGTTGGATGTGAGCCCACAGAAACATCTGGAGAAATATTTTTTAACTCATCAGGAAAGGAGGTGACCGAACAGAACCAAAGTACACAAAAGCAGTAGTGAAGCCAAAAAAGGGGACCGATTCAAAGAAGAAAACATCTGCCGAGATAAAGTATCTACGTAGAGTTAGAGAGTAGCAACGGTAATCCTTTTGAGACCGAGGATAACCCAGAAAAACACATTTATGAGACTTGGAAGCTAGTTTATCCAAGCCTAGACCGAGATGATAAACAAAACATGTAGAACCAATGACATGTGGGGCCAAAGGATATAAAGTTTGATGAGAGAATAAAACAGAGCGAGGTACCTGGTAATGAAGAACAGAAGAGAGCATGTGATTAATAAGATAACATGCGGTGAGAATAGCATCACCCCAGAACTTGTAGGGAACATTGCCATCAAATCACAATGCACAAGCAGTCTCAACAAGGTGACGATTCTTACGCTCGGCTACAACATTTTGTTCGGGTGTATGAGGACAAAATGTTCGATGAAGAATGCCATGAGAGGAAAAGAATTGCTGAAATTGATGAGATAAATACTCATATGCATTATCACTACGAAAGGTACAAATAGGAATACCAAACTGAGTTTTGATTTCGTTATAAAATAACTAAAAAAATAGAAAATAACTCAGAATGATTTTTCATTAAAAATAACCAAGTACATTTGAAAAAATCATC